AAACGGGTCTCACCCAACACATATTTCTCCTTACAGTCATTTTCTTATTTTTGGGTCAGCCTTTGTTGTCCGTTCCCATCGCAGGACCTGGACATCGACTTTGGAGAGGAGAAAAAAGGCGCTGGCAAGCTAATTGCCTTAGCTCACTGAGTGTACATGTTTGCTTATTTCGCTTTCGGTCCATGGTCGTATCAAACAAGTGTTCTTTATAGGGCGATTCATGGCAGGTTTGAGAAAGGGGATGTTGTGGCTGATATGAAGGATTTATGTTTTGGTTGTCTTGTATGGAGCATTGTTCATGAACATATGGATGCATCCTGCAAGGTTGGTTTCAGTCAATCATTTGTATATCAGTTCCTTATTACTGTGGATGTGGATGCTAGTTTTTAGGCTTGCTGTGACTTATTGCCAATTAGCGTTTTTTTTTTTGATTTGTGACTGGCTATATTCACTGTTTTTTCAAACATGAGACCTTCTAGATCAGATGAGACTTGCGGATCAAATATGTGTCTGTGTGGTGACACAACTCATGAATGTTTCAGTATCATCATCTTTGGAGCTTTTCAGACCGATGAGTAGCATTAGGTTATTTAGATTGCCTGTTATGTAGCTGTTATGTATTCAGTGAATTCTACATGTGTTCAAGTATGTCCTTTCTTTTTGTCACATCCTATGGGTTTGAAGTTTAAACATTGCTGTCCGTTTCTTTAGATTCAGATGGCCTGAAAATTTTCCCAAACCATCTTTGCTGTCTAGTTTATCATATTTTTCAATTTTGTTGAATCTGAATTTGATATCAGATGCAAATCATTTTTCAGATTTTTCCAGGCTCGGAATTTTACAGATTTGACATCAGATTCAGGTTTCTTTCAGATTTTTTAAGAATCTGAATTTTTCAGATTATTTTCAGATTCAGATTTTTCAGATTTTTTTCAGAATCTGAATTTTTCAGATAATTTTCAGATTCAGATTTTTTCAGATTTTTTCAGATTCTGAAAATCTGAATCTTCATCACTTTCTTTACTTAAATTTTCAGATTCAGATTTTTTCAGATTTTGTCTGAATCTGAAAAATCTGAAAAAATCTGAAAAAATCTGAATCTGAAAAAAAATCTGAAAATTTCAGATTCTGAAAAATCTGAAAAATCTGAATCTGATATGAAATCTGCAAATTCAGAGCCTGTATAAATCTGAAACAAAGATCTGAATCTAACAAATCAAGTTTTTCAAAAAAAATCCAGAACACATGTTTCTAGTCTGAAATCTTCAACCCTATCAATTTTTACATTTTTTCAAAATATGGTTATGCAGCTAATACTTTAAACAAAACTGATCCTGAAGGATCTGGGCATATCAATGAACAATGCAAAAAATCTAAACAAAATTGTGAAGATATGAAAACAGGCATCAAATACACCGTCAACAAAATAAACTGTTGATTGTGTGAATGTGGGAAATCCATTCGAGTGAATCCACATGCTGCAAACAGATGCACGTTTTCGAACAATGAAACACAAGCAAGCTTGATATTAGACTGTGCGTCAAAAATGAGTCACAGATACATCCATTAATGAAAAACTCAAGCTTAAGGCACGCAAAAAAATACATAAAGACTATGTAGTCTCCAGGATGAATTTTGTGACTGAGACACTACAGCACGTGTGAACATGTTGTATTTTTTACAGCACACACATATCAGAACGCAAGGGACATAAGCATGGATGCACGACACATGATCAAGATTCATTTCAATCACAAACACATGCAGTACGACTTACATCCACATCCATCAGATAGCACTCCAATATCTGGTTTCAAGAATTTATCTTACTATGTTAGATCAGGCAGTTGTCATATATACTTTGTTTGCAAGTGATTCATGTGCTTGCAAATACACGCAGTCGAAGCATGCAGATGCCGCAGCGGAGACATCCGCGCGGCAAAAATATTGATATTGATAGCGATGATGAGTTTATTAGGTTGCATCAGTTTGACCTACTCCTCTTTCACCACCTCACTGTGTCAACCAAGGTGCCCTAGGGATCTCGAACTTTTCATTTTGGAATAAGACGGAAAACCATTGAATAGTGGCCTGATTCATTTACTTTGGCCCGTACTCCAATCCAACATAGGGTAGGGATAGCCGCTTTCGCGTGCCTCGGCCACCTAGCTAGCGCAGCCATGGGAAAACGAGCCGCTTCCGCCGCGCCCACTACGCCAAAAGCAAAGCCAGCAGCTAAGCCTAAAGCAAAAGCGAAGGGTAAGGGCAAAACAACGAGAAGGAAGCCAGCATCGACCCTGAGACCTACAAAAGCTAGGTGCGAGCAGAGACCTACGAGAAGGCAGCTGCGCCGCATGCGGATGGTCTTGTTCGCTCGACGCGCCTGGACACTGACGTGGCCGTGTCCAATCATATGCGCTGCTGGGCTTTTTCAGTATATGCTTGTCTGTGTGCTTATGGAACATGCCCTTGTGTGTACGAATATATAAGGCTTCACCGGCATCCTCTTCAAAGTCGGCGACTTTGTGCGGGTGGATGCTCATGTCGGGGTGCTCCGAGCTTGCTTGTCCTTTCTCGAAGAACTCGCGGTTGTCATCGCGCGCTGCGAGCGCTGTCTCGATGACGCCAATGAGGCGGCTCAAGCTTGGCAGCAGCTGCCTGACACGCAGCTGTTGCCTGTGAGGCCGCGCGGGCTCGCGCATGCGGCGACGTGCTGGAGCCGTGCAGGCGCTCTGATCCGAGCTGTGGAATCGCTCTAGAAAAAATGCGTCTTTGGGGCCGCGCGGGCTGCCCGCTGCGGCTTTGCTTGATGTCTCGCTTGCGGTAGGAAAACGCAGTATTGCACAAAATGCACACAGGCGCTGTAGTCAACAGAAAAAACACCTTAACAGGTTTAGCTGGTTTAGCTAAACTTTAGCTAAACCCTTGCCTAAACCACCTCCTAAACCACATTTTGTAACCCTTATAAACCCGCTGCTAAGTCTTATAGTGATTTATAAGAGATATGTAATCCCCAGCCGGCTAAGTTTGTGGCTCGTGAGTCAGTGCCGGTTTGTCCCGACACATTATCAAATGATGATGATCCGCGAAGTTGAGCTTGATCTGGATTAGGTTGAGTGAGATCAAGCCGTTGAGCAACGTCACCACTGAGTGGCTTAGGGGAAAGTACTTTGGCAACGCGGCTCGGTGGGAGCGATGTAGTTCGCCTCTCTGGTGTGACCTCGGCCTCATCGATTACATCAAGGATCCCAGGAATGGTTTCATCATCTTCATTTCCTCTCCTGGGTGGCTGATGGAAGGGGATGTCGAGGAGGTCAAATGGAGTAGAGCCAATACCAGGTGTATCCTGCTCGGATCCATCGCTGGTACGGTGGCTGGACTGCTCCTCGAGGTCGATGACGTCGGGGGCGGACTCTTTTCGAGTCTGACGCCGATTGAACGCCGCGAAGAGACCGGCATGGCTTCTTGACGAAGAGGAGGAAGGATTTGGGCCTGCTGTTTCGCGGCCCGCATCCGATCGACTAGTACCTGATGTCCGATTTGGCGGATTTGAGCCCGCGTTGTAGCGGTTCGCATCCCGACCTCGGGTACCTGAGGAAAGCGGTGGATTCGGACCAGCGTTGTAGCGGTCCGCATTCCGGTCGCGGGTACCTGACAGGTGAGATGATACTGCATCAGGGATGAAGTCCATATCCGCCGGACTGGGGTGATCGTGAATGATGTCAATGTCGGATGAACCTGAGACGGGAGGAGGGCCAGCTATTTGCGGCCAATCCTCAATCGCCCGTTTGCCCACCTCGGGTTGGGCCGAACCTGCAACATGAGAAGGGGAGAAATCTTCAATGGGGTCATTTTCTCCATCATGAGGAAAACCCTGAGTAGGCTCATGCGTGGGCAGGGCATCAAAAGATCTGTCAATTCGGGAAGGCTGAGACCTCCAATCAGCATCAAAAAGGGATTGAAAATCCAGATTCCCAACCGAAACGGGGGCACCCGAGTTAAAGTCGAGCCGACCGAAATCAGGCGGTGTAGCCTGCGATCCACTGCCGAGGAGTTGGTCAAACTGATCCCATGTAAGGGACCATGATTGAGCCGGCTCCGGATGAGCAGCATGATGGACAGCCCGGTCCTCGATCTGGAGCGCCACGAACGGAACAGTAGGCGAAATCGATGAGGGCACCTGATTTGGAGGAACCTCAGCCTCTTCTAGAGGGGGTCCGTCCTCGATCTGGAGCACTGCCGCCGGGATAGGGGCCTCCGCATCCTCATCAAACACAACCTGAGAAAGGATCCAATCGTCCGTGATCACCCCGGGATTGGGCTCTGCGCCCACCATCGGGGGAATGGGCCACAGCCGGCTGTCTAAGCCGGGGGCAGCAGGCGCGGCGTTGCCGCGAAGGGCGTTGGCCTCGTCGTCCACGAAGCCCGGCCCACGATGAGAAGCTCCGGGGGACGCCATTGCTCGTACAAGTAGGCGATGGGAGCAGGTAGCGGGTCACGTCCCGCAACCGGATCACCAGCCCCAGCTTCTAGCTGGTACGGCTGATAACCTGCGGTTTTGGGCGAACACGAAGTAGCCCAGGGAATCAAAGAGGTACACGTAATCCACGAAGTACCAAAAGAACCCAGTCTCAACGCACAATGGAGAAGGTGCTGATGACCAGGTTGTGGGAGTGACAGTTGAAGAAGATCAGGTTTGGGGAGGTTAGAAATGGGATTGCAAAACAGTAGTTTGAGGGACAGGCCCAAGAACACCTCGACGGCCCACCGAACACCTCCTACCCCCAAAGCGCCGCGGCACCACAAAGCCTTTTGCGGTGACGAAGAGCGATGCCAGGATATGGCGTTCGCACGCGAGTCCGAGGGGAACTTGACGGGAGTTCCCAAAAACTTGAGCCAAACGGCCATTCGGCCGTTTTGCCACATGATGAAACAACACGTGAACAAAACACAGAAACAAAACCCAGCCCGAACCCATTGGTTTTCCCCGCCAGCCTCGCCTCCAACTCGCAAGGCGCTGCCGAGAAAGTAGTCCTTTCCTGGGCAAAGGAGCGGCCGTTTTTTGGGGGGGCCCCACCGCCCCCACCTTCCATTTTTACCTAAGAGGACAAGGGGAAACTCAGTGAGCGATGCCTCGCTGGCGACCGCAAGCTCAGCTGCGTGTTTTATGTTTGTGTCGTCACCCAGTGATGGCGGTCGGCTAGCTGGCCGAGCCGCCAGTGGCTGGTGGCCGGAGTTTAGTGAACCAACCCACCAATCAGCCAACCAACCAAGCAACCAGCCAGCCAGCCAACCAGCCAGCCAGCCAGCCGGGAATTTCAAAACAAAACCAATCCCCTCAAATCACCTGCGCTGCTCCCTGCCACCCACCCTTTGCATTCAACCACCCTAAAGCTCCTAGGATGCATCTCGTTGACCTTGAACTCAAGTCTTTGTTAGCGTTCTGACTCCCATTGCAACTGGCACACAAATTGGTCGTCTCGACATAGGGGGACCAAGTTCTCTTGGTTTCCCTTTGAACGAACACCAAAGCTTTGGCGCGCCTGAATGCGCCACGACCCCGAAATAGGTTAAACGCCAAACCATTAGGTAAACATGAGGGGCCCTTGTACCTTTTTGGTGCTTGAAGAAAGGCACTGGATGTCTGGTCAACTCAGCTGTAAGATGACCCTCTTCCAAGTAGGTAGTGATGCCTATAGTATCCTATTGCTTTTGAACTGCTAAGCTGCTGTAGCCTTCCATGTTTGTCATTCCATGGTACCAATGTAATTTTGACGCGGTGCCATAATTTCAAGAAATGCCCTAATTTGTGAGATGCTGACCCCTGCCATCGAAAGGCTGGACATCCACTGTTTGGCGATGGGCCTGGGAAGGAAATTCATGGCGCGGGGTTCAATTTAACAACAAACCGCATTGTCTGACTCTATGCTCCCAGCAGCGTGCGGCGCACAGTCCATTCCTCTTTTCCACTGAATCAACCCCCAGTGGTGGCTGGGAGTGCGCCTGCTGGTGTTGATGCATGGGTCAGCTGCGGTGTCGAGCTGGTTTACTCCACATCAACCCAAAAGAAAAAGCGATGCAACAAGTTATACTAAGTGAAGCACCATGAAGCATCGATGAAGAAGGGGATGTGGACATACTGCCCATCACATCCCGGTCAAATCGAAGACGAATCGTCCGTTAAACTCGGACGGAAAAACATGCGGAAAGAAGAGCGGGCCTACGTCCCGCCCGTGGTTAGTCGCCGTCGGAGAAAATTCACCCGTCCGATACAATGAAAATGTGGTGTTCCTCGGAAGTGGTGCTACCAGCACTGGGCGTGAGTCGAAAGAACCCAGGCCGTAAATTCAAACACGTGAAATCACAGTCAGCGGATCACTGGGACATGTAAGCGGGCAACGACAGGTGCTTTGCCCACTGGCGATTGAGCAAGCAAGATGGCTCAACTTGGGTTTAATGCAGGAAAGGGGTCGGTCAATGGGTAAAATAATGAAATGAAAAGGTTCAAGGAACGGTTCTTCATCACCCATCCGCAATGCTTTCAGGCGTGCGGATGCATCGCTGGGCCAGGGAGTGGATGGGTGGGAGCGAAAAATCCCATCCTTTTCGTCAGAATGGCCATCGCGATGCATGTGTTCTCTCATGCAACTCGTGATCGATGGTCATGACAGCTGCACGTCTGTCAGAAGTCCGGTTGGTTAGTTTTCCAAAACAAACCAAACACAAATTAAAGGGTCACTACTCAACGTTCTTGTTCATAACAAGTGTTAACCACAACACTTGGGCTATTGAAGGGTTGATTCCAAAGACCCTAGCACAAAAAGAAAAGCTGCCCCCTGCAAAAAGAAAAGAAACAAAGCCCGAGCGGCAGAGGGTGCGAGCGTGAAGTTCCAAAGACCCTCCATGCTCTCCAAGGCATCCGCCTGGCGCGCGTAATGTTCCATACCTGAGGAAGGGGGGTGGCCGGTTTCCCATTGATACAAAGGACCAGGGTTTCGAATCGCCAATCCGCCAATCCAAGCCACCGATCAAGGGTTAGCTGATTAGTTGCGCGGGTTTGCTGACTGGGACAAAAAGTCAAAAAAATCGACCCCCTGCCTGGTAAAGGTGATGTTTTAAGTGGATCAAACGTATCGGCTTCAAAACTCACAAATTTCCCCCTGGGCGTTTGTGGGGTTGCAAGTACCCGATAGTATTGATAAAGAGAACTTCGTAGATCCCCACTGAAAAGCGCCCACAAAGATCACAAAAAGGCCCCACCACTTGTGTTGCGGGCACTCCAAAAATCGCGGACTCAACCAATTGCTGGAGTTACCTGTGTGTCCCTATACCATCTTCCACGAAAGTGGGGGCCTAAACTCAGGCCTCGCTCCATGTTTGTTTTTGTGTTTCTCTCTGAGATTCAATCAACAGCTGTTCAGCCAGACTTGCACGTGTGTGCACGCTACCATTCTGGACAAATATGTCACTGGCTTTTAACTAGTTCACCTGATTCCAAGATTCCTATCCGAAGTACTACTCAAGGAAACCTGGGGTAATAGCTCTTAACCCATATTCCCTTGAGGTAGTCTTCTGGCGGTTGTCAGTTGTGGCAAGCCTCCGAGAATGATGGACCGAACCAATTTGTTCTAGGTGTCACCCGACCTTCCCCAATCCCTGGTGTGTTGGCAAAACAACGAAAAGACCTCAGTTGTTTTGCCAGCCCCAACACAAATACAGAAGCATCAAACCTTTGATGGGAACCCATAATCAAAACCGGTTGACTTTGATCCAGGGGTTGCCCATTTTGGTGGGAATGCGCATCACTTTTGAAAAAGCACCCTCTAACTACTAATCTGCCAGGTTCATACATCCAAGGTCGACGTTACCTGAAGCAACGAACATTTAGAAGCCCTAATCTGTACAACTCCCCAACCCCCCCCAAAAAAAGAACAGGCAAACATCAAAAAACAACTTCCCTCTGAGCAACAAACAAATGCGCCTTCAGCTGGCTGAGTTGGCTCCAGGTGAGAACCTCCTGGCGGTGATACTCTGGATGCACCTGTGCATATCCCCCCCAACCTTGAGGGCATGCCAGTTGTCCAGTCTTCCCCACAAAAAGGAGAATGGAATTGTAAATGAAATCCCAGTGGTCACTCCCTCCCCCGATCTGTTTTTGAGGTTGCGGGGATCGGTGGATACCCCCTTGGAGAGCTGTGCAGGAGTGCAACGACCGATGGAATCCACCGTTGGGGCAGCAACATAGTTGTCTACATTTAGTGCCGGACAATCACTGAGGACATGTAGGTTTATCTGAATGTTAGGGGACCCCCAAAAGAGATGCGTTCCTCTTGGCAAGGGGGTCCCAAACACACGTCATATACATATAACATGTATATGCGTAATATATGTCATAAACATGTATATATGGAAAGTCGCTTAGGCCCACAGCAATGATCCATTTGCAAAAGGCAGCTCACAAGCAGGAAGGGGAATCGAGCCCTCCACGAAGGATCCCGTTGAGGTCCCTCAAAGCGGTGTGTAAGATTGGACTTCCATCTTCCGTTGGTAAAAAAAAAAACAGTAATGCTTAGAACTCGGGAATCCATCAGATCCAATGCTTCTAAAGATGTTTCCCGGTGCCGTGAGAAACACTTGCAAACCAGGAGTCCAAGCCGAAGGTTCGAAACTTGTCGGGTGTTGGGCAAAACAAAACCGGCGTCTCGTTTCGGCATAGGGATGTTTTGATTTTTCAGATTGCAAACTATTTCAATTTGCCCGAGTGGAGTCCTTGAAAGGTACATGTTGTTCGCTCAGCTCCACTTTTTATGCTGTGCTCAGAAGAACCCCGGCGCTTTCATATGGGTCCCATCTTTCTCTAAGGCACGGTGGGAGGCGGACCACCTGTTGGATGGCTTCAAAAGGAAAGCAGAAGCAAACTAGCAATTTTACGCGGGGGCGCGGGCGGTTGGAAAGAGGCAGACTACTCTCCTTTCGTTTTTCATTGCGCAAATGTTACGCGAGCCTCCTCCATCCCCCGATTTAGACCCTACCTTTCCCATTTTTTGAAACATGGGCCTAGCCGAGTTCGGACGGAATGTGGTCATGTGTCAAAGGCACCCCTCCAAATGGTTGGTGTCAGCCCGGTTTCCATTTCACACGGATCCAAAAACAGGTCCGTCCTTTGTTTTGACTCTCCACCTGGCTTTTGCAGGATTCAGACCGCCCGTGTGGCACCACGTAAAGCGGATGCGCTCTATACCCGGGAGCAACTCGAGCATCTCGCTGCGGTCATCATCAATTGAGTCCATTTCAGTCACTTCCTCAATTCTCACTTACATTCTAAATGGTGGTTTGAATTCCCCTCAAAATATTCACTTTAAGCGACCCAGATGAACCACTTCTCCAAGAGCTCAATCCGGCTGCGCAGAGGCCCTCTTCACACCAGAGACTTGAAATGGGGTGGGCAGGGAGCTGTCTGATTGGCTTTGAGTTTTCATGCGATGATGCCACAGCTCCGGAGACAAAGAGGGATAAAACGCGAGTCCTGGGGTTTGCCCTTGGCACATATTGGCACTACCCGATGAAATAAGGCTCACCTTTCCAAGTCTCTGAGTTTCCTTGCTGCGTATCTCTGGGTCCCCCAGATCTTGGATTAAGAACCAGTCGTCAGCCCAATTGATGGCTTCTAGGGAAGCAAGGAGGATTACGCGAGGATCTCCCGCATCCACGAAACACCGAACCAAGAAACGCCGAACGAGGCTCGGAGCAACAAACTCTCGCCTGGCGCCCTGAGTCAGGAGACACCTCCAAGTCGCCTTGGACACCCGCGGTCTCAAAAGTTGTGCTTTGTGACTCCCGGTTTGCTGTGTTTACTTGGGAAACCTCTGGAGAAACAAGTACTTCGCATGTTGGTGGCCTTGGTTCTACATACTTCTTTCTCAATTTTCACATGAAGTCATAGGCTCAACAGGTTGAAAACAATGGATCCGCTAGAAGTGTAGGCTGAGAGGGAGTCCCTTGATGTTGAACCAAATGTGTCATGACTCCCGAAATGCCAAACCAGTGGTTTCCCAGTAGTTTCCCTGCAAAAGAGATGGAAAAAGGGGTTCCGGTACCCTAATCAAATGGAACCGCACCCATCAAACACGGGGTCATTACTCTTACATGCATCCGCCAAGAAGTCATCCTTGGCCCATTTCAACCCCCATTTTTGGGGTTCCCAAAACAACGGACCTGACCCACGTCTTGGCGCTTTTGGTCCCCGGCTCTGCAACAACGCCTCTGAGATGTGCAGCAGGGGCCTTAAGCTGCCCAGTACAAAACTTGAAACCTGCGACATCCCAGGCCCGTGGCTTTGCACTTCTTTTGCCATCCGCTCAGGCCGCAAGGAGCCCTTCACGGCAAGTCTGCAACAGACTAAATTAAATGCAGCCAAGCAATTGGTAATATGTGTAGAGGGATCTGATCGAGGAATCTGCTACTGGGGCAAGCCTGGTTGAGGATTCTGTCAATGTTCGGAGGAGTATCCGACAGCCTGGATCCACAGAATCCACAGGTTGCTGACGCTCGCTGGGGTATCAAAACATCGACTGCAAAGATTGCATTGAAGAACAAGTTAATACAAACCAGTTGTACAAACAAGTAAGGAAGGAGAGGGAGAAGGTTGAACACATGTTTTGAACAAATGGCATAGGCAGGCCAGGCAGGGATTGTGACACAAAGTGGCAGAAACAAAAAGTGAGATGCTGAAAGGCGTTCTTATCAAAACTCCTAGCCTGAAACTCTCAAAGGTTCCCATGGATGGAAATGGACCTCCGGCTCCCTAGAACCCAGGGAAAACAACCAGTGCCTGATTTCAGAGTTTGGAGGTTGCAAGTTACCCACAATAAGGACAGCCGGTCAAAGGGAAAGTAGGCAAAAATGAGGGCTGGGAATTAAAGGGACACCTACGGTCAAAAGCCCTCGCCCTGTTTGAATTTCAGTCCGCGGCAGGCAAGAGCTGAACATGCGCTGATAAGAACCAAACAAAACCATGACCCAGAAATCACAAATCCAATGGAAAACCAAACATAAAAACGTAGCCCAAAAAATGTTGAGGAACATGTGCCAACCACGCGATGTAACTAGTCGTTTGTCGCTTGACGTTTCCCTTTACACAACCAGCCATTGAGGCGTGTCCAAAAACGGGACACATTTGGGGGTCCGTATTTGAAGGGAAACAAACGTGGGACCAGCTATTTTTGACGGGCCCCATTTTTGGACAGATTGTCACGGTGCCATACACAATTACAAGGATTCAACCCCCTGACCAGTCACGGTGCGTGGCATGTTGGAATCTTTGTACACCACCCCCCGCCCCAAGAAAGGGTGACTGCTGGTTGATTTTGCGACCCAAGATTATTCGAATATGTGAACCCTGGAAATGAGCGGTTTCCCTATGGCTTCGAATCTAAACCAACGCTGAAAAGGGTACCCTCAAAAGACACACCCGTATCCGCAATAATTCAACAACATAATTTGCCGCACCATCTCCAAGCGGATCTTCCAATTTCAGGGTCTGTACACTAGACCATGTTTGTTGCTAGTGCCGCCACAGGGCGCCTGGTCGTTTCACGGCGTTTCAGCTGCTTTTCTGTCGTTCCACGCCGCGGTGGGTGGGGGGGGTAATAAATACACGCGTTCACTGCGCCGCATGCGAATAAATTTATGTATCTGAGCCTCATGTCGGCTCTTTGCATCGTGTTGAGCACACGCGTTCACTGTGACGCATGAGTATCATGCATGCATCTCAGCCTCACGTCGGCTTTTTTTTGTCGTGTTGTCAAAGAGGTTTCCGGTTGCACCACTGGCTCTCAGGGAGTGTTCAGCAATGTACAATCCTCGCGCGGTGTCTCTTTGCTTGTCTTTGGCGTTGCTTTTGCGCAATGCTAGAGTATCGCCGCCGAGCCGCTCACCGGCTCTATTGTCTGCTTGGCGTGCGCACCCTTTTTCCTTGATCAGCACATTGATGTCTTTGCTGCTGCTTCGGTGTCAGATCCAGGTTTGGATTTTGTGATTGCTGCTTCTGCGATGCCTGACTGTTCTCCAATTGACTTTCGTGCGCTGTGTGATGATCAGCACGTTCTGTGGTCTTCGTGGGTCTCTTATGTCTCGCGTTCTAGCTGCAAAAAAATGATTTGCTCAATGTTTGCAGCGCACAACCGAAATGGAGCCCAATGGAGATGACGTCAAAAGAAGGGTGTTTTCTCTGCAAAAAACGTTAGTTTGAGGGAATTCTAAAACAACAGTTGTTCATTGAGAAAAGCTGAAATCGTTGGCAGGCGCATTGAAATCAAGAAGGGTGAACCTTGAAAATCACCAGGCGCCTCATGGCGTGATGACTTGTTTGTTTGTTACGAGCAAGAGTGTCCTCCCTGTTGAATCAATGAGGTGCGCACTTCGAGCAGAAACCGACCACTGGGCTGTGGATTCTCCCATTGCCGTTTTGGACCAGGCTCTAACAGGAAACCAAAGCCATCCATTTAGACGAGATTACACCTGCGTGAAAGTAGATGGCACAACTTTCTTTCTGTGGGCAAGTAAAGGAGATGACTAAACCAAAATGGGAAAATTGTGCCATCTACTTTCACCCAACTGCACCAGTTGGGACACATTCCCTGATAATCGGCCTTACACAAAAGCAAAATAGACTCAAACGTAAAATGCCAGAGGTCACCCGCCTCCCCCAATTCTGCCTTCCAAATCTTCAAAAGGGTTGGAAATGGTGAAGTCATACCTAGGAGTCAACTGCCATGAGTGCAATGGGGCCCCAACTCATCGCCTGAGCCGTCACAGCTCGCCATGCGTCCGGGGCGCGCGCGCCCGGCGCAGATGTCTTATCTCTTCAAGAAACCACCACCTGCCACCTTGAAACAGGACAAAATACTCGCATACTTCAAAGCCATGGGTTCGCAATATGCTTTGGCCAGCGAGTGGTTAAGAGCGTCATGGCAAGTTGGCAGCGCAACCAACACGTGTCTTGCAAAAAGAAGCTGGTCGCAATGGGGCAGGTGCTTCGTGAAGCAAACTTCTGCAGGTCACTTTGCAAGGATCAGCTTGCGCCCCAACATCTAGCTTCCAGGGCGCCATAGCACAAAGCTGGAAGGCGGCAAGCAAACGGCTCACTCTCTGGCGTTGTCCCAGACCTCCAGTAGCCATGGGAAAACAAGGCCACCTTTTTGGATGCTTGATTTTCAAATGGAGCCCAACCCCCAAAACAACGGAGAAGAGGGACTGGAGGTCGGAGGTCTGGGTCACAATACCCCTGAACTAGGCCATTCACACTTCTCTCACCACCAACACAAATTCTGTGAGGGTGTGTCGAAACAAGTATCCCTCGGTCCACAAAGGAACCGACATGACTTAAGCCATTGTCAGAAGTCCTCTGATGAAAGCGATGTGAGGCTTCGTCTAAACTCTTTGGTCCCGAAACTGCTCTTTCCCCACGCCTTTCACGGAACTTGTGCGACCACATCAACAACGCCCAACAACTCTATTCCATGTAAAAAACACAGACATGACCGTTTTGAACTACCCATGTCAATTCTGATTCCTCCCCTCTGATTGACCTGCTCCAGCTTGCATCTAGCCAAATGGTATAATATTAGATTAATATGCGTTGTCAATCCCAGTCCAAAATATAAACGAACACGCACACACACACACAAACAGACTGCATGAATCATGTCTGTTTCGAAACTCATTTCCTGAGTGTTTTGGAGAAAGCTCACCACACACCTATCTCATGTCCATCAATGACAAGTTCACCCCAAACGTCGGGCACGAAAGGCCGCAGGCCATGCCCCCAACAGCTTGGTGAAGCGGCCAATCTATGTGCTATCATTGAGTGAGGGGCCTTTCATATGGCTGTGGGTCAAAAATAGGTACCCAAAATGGGGCCCGGCAAATGGAAAAGTAGACTAAAACCTGTGGTCATAATTTTGACCCATACCCATATGGATTCTGTCCTTTCCATGTTGCCTAACTCTGCAGGAACAGTGCGCTATGTTTGGCTAGGGCTGGTTTATGATTGGGTGGCGGCTGGGAGTTGCTCCGGGCTGGTTTGATTAGGGGTGGCTTTAGGCTGGCTCAGATCTTACCGAGGGCGGGGCTTGGGCTGGTTTGGGGTTCATTTAGGCCAGGCAAGGGGCTGACATTATTTTCCAAGTTCCCCAAAAAAAAGAAGATAAGCACAAAGAAGCACCCCTCAAGGTCGGCAAACTTGTCAGACAACTGCTTTTCACGGTGCGCTATCTTTGACGGGAAGCTTCCCGTGCTCATTCGCTCTCCACGACGGGCCGCGTTCGGCCTCCGAAGACATGTTCAATTGCTGGCTTCCGAAGGCCTGAACGTTCAGGCAATGCCTTACATGAAATCCTTGGTTGTGACACATTCGCACATGGCTCCTGGTGTGCTCAAACATATTCTTGCTTTGGCGCTTTGTTCCCTCTTATCGTTCTCCAGGGCTTGTTCATAACGGTCACCAAGCCTTCTCGCGTGAACACGGGCTCCCTGCATTTCAACGCTGCTGCTTGCGAGGGAGCCTGCTTATCCGCACCCTCTTTCTCTCCGCAGCAAACAGAAGCTTTGGTTCAAGCACTTGCTCCCCCTGGGCAAAGAGCTCCCGGTGGTCTGATGGCAAGTACCGCTACAAGCTTCGAGGAGTCATGTCAGCTACCTACTCTCCATGCAATGGACAATGGCATGGGCAGCTCCTGCTCCTGCGTGTCACTGTTTCATGTGGAAGCAACTTAAAAAATGCAGCGGAAACGACTATATAGATGTACATGCACTCCGGATGCGGTTTTAGGCCACCTGAGAACTCAGTTTGATTCGTTATCTGGGGGCCTCCCCATGGTATGGGCGTCTAAAACGTCAAGAGAGGCGAACCCCCCCCCCCAAAAAAAAAGAAAGAAAGCCTTTGGCAAGTTGAGAGGAAACTGAGGCCTAATCCTTGACTTCACTACGGAATCAAAGCAGTTGCTTTGGGGTTTGGAACCAGAGAAGGAGCTCAACATGATACCAGGCCAAAGGAGCCCACAATTTTGACACCTTTTGCTTCATTCCAGCAACCAAGATGCTCAAGAAGCAAGACCCTTCGCCGATCAAAGGGAACAGGTTTGTTCAATCCGGCACGTGCTCAGAGGCTACAACTGAAGCCCTATAAATTGCAAACTTGATGAGGGGACTCGTGTGTATAATATAGTATAATATATATATATATATATATATTATAATAATATGTAATAATAATAACCTTAATAATAATAATGATGACAATAATAATAATAATGATAATAATAATCATAACAATAACAATAACAATAACAATAACAATAACAATAACAATAACAATAATAACAATAACAATAACAATAACAATAACAATAACAATAATAATAATAATAATAATAATAATAATAATAATAATAATACTAATAATAATAATAATAACAAAAACAATAATAATAATAATAATAATAATAATACTAATAATAACAATAATAATAATAATAATAATAATATAAATAATAATAATAATAATAATAATAATAATAATAATAATAATAATGATAATAATAATAATAATAGTAATAATAATAATAATAACAATAATAATAATAATATTATTAATAATAATACTAACAATAATAATAATATAATATATAATATATAATATATAGTATTATATATATATACACATACATAGTGTGTATATATATATGCTATGCATATATATATATATTATTACAACCACCCCCCCCCCCCCCGGCCCCAAACTGTTGGATGCTGCTGCTGAGACCAAGCCAAATATAGCCTAAGGATGTCCACCGACCATCCCGGCTCGAACCCCGGCTTGTTCGACTCCCAGCGGTAATAGATATCGGCAATCATTCGATAATCAACTACATGGACCTGCCGCAAACAGGAGTAATTGTTTCGTATCATGAAAAGGAACACGGGGGAAGGAGAAAACGGCTCTATCTCAACATGATAGCGGCCACGGGCCCAAATTCCCAGAACTGACCATCTGAAAGCCGCTGATTCCCCGCTTGGGCACTTGAATCAAATCCCAACCGCATGACCAAAAGAGTCATCTGCACTACAACATCTTGCCAACCAAACGTAGCTCCTGGGTGTGCGCACTCCCTTTCATGTACCCCGCCTCAGTCCAATGGCAATGTTGCCTCACAGGTCACGGGCAGCAAGGCTCAACATGTTGGTGGCGCTCGCTGGCACGTCAAGGGGGCACAAGCCCAAACAACTTGCATAGACTGCTTTGTAAGCGACATCTGCTTAAGCGCAAACGTTGCTTGGACCGCTTTTCGGGTTTTCTAAGCTGCTTCTGCGTGGGTCCAGTATACAAAATGAAACCCCGTCGATAATGTGGCAAACATGACGCCTGCCCCCCAAGTAGTTTCCAAAGCCCCGCTCAACATGTTCCTTCTAGTCCTTGCAAGGGGCGCAAAGCCATCGTTGCTCGTGTTCAAATGCAGTTACCGCATCCCACAGGAACTGGGCTAGTCTTCCAACTCCCGGCTCAAGGATATCAATATGGCACCAGCTTGGTTTTGTGCACAATTATTCTTACGAGGTTGGTGTTTCGAGGAAGAGGCATGACCATAATATGTATATATATATATATGTATGTATATATATGTATGTATATACATATATGTATATGCACAGATTCTGCAAGCCACTGTATTACTCGCAATAGATATTAATTAAGATATTGATTACATTTGAAAAAAAGGGCTCGCCCACGCAAGGCCCCTGGTGAGGTCGCTCTGATTTGAACAATGCGATTCGCACGTTTGTCCACGAAGGGAAAACCAGCAAATTCTAGTTCTTCAAGACACACTCGGCTAACATTGCCCTGCAAGGTCCTTGGCATCACCTTCATCTACTTGGCGACAATTCGAAATGCAGCTGACGCACATCCATCATGAAACTGGGAATGACTTCGAGCTTATGCCGTTTGAACCCTCGGTAGCTCTAGGGTCATTCTGTTCGCACCTCTCGTGATTCTCTGTGAGGAATCAATACGACAGGGCCAAGTCAGCCGTGGTCAAACGTGGCTTCCTGAACCAGCGGGCCCCACATCTCAGAGGCCGTGAAGGGAAAAAGGGGGACCGTTTTGGCTGGGCCATTAGAAGAGAAAACCAAAAAATGGAGGTGCACTGAGCGTTTCACCTGCCAACATCGATGCTTTAACCAAATAGGTATTTGTTTGGCTGGGTGATCGTTTGCCTTTTGCCACAAAACAGAGATGTTGAAAATAGGCGCGACCGGGCAGCTGTGGCAGTGTGTTCAAACTCCTGCTTGCACATGATTCTCCAAGGGCACTTCGACCGTGGTCATGTGGTGGTATGCCATCATCTTTTGCACCATTCAGCTACAGCTGAACCCTGACGACTTGAAGAGATAGACATTGAAGGCCAGTCTTCTGGAACTGCGGCTTAACATAGACCAAAGCTAGGGTAACAAAGACAAAAGCCAATACTTTGGGCAACTGAGAGAGGCCATCAAACTGTTTGCTTGATATGGGTCCATGAAAGTGATATCAAATTTGAGTTTCAAGGGAAACAGCCCCAAAGACTAATTTTGAGATTCACTAAACACGTTCACCCAGACTTGGCTTTGATGGACCACCCACATGAGCAACCAGAACCCCTACACTCCGTTGCCCACCGTCCAACGTCTGTCAATTTGGCGCCCGCACCAAAACGCCCAGCGCAGGCGCGAGCGCTGGCCTGGCGCGCGATTTAGAGGTTGGTCCATGGATTCCACGGGCAAAATGTTCCCAAACTGTTCCAGTACCAACCTGAGGACCAACAGGCTGGTCCATGGATTGTTTGTTCCTTGCTTCCAATCGGTGACTGCCATTCCCAAACTGAAACTATGGGATCCCCTCGCAGAGGACCTTCTAGCTCAGGTGAGCTTGTCATTTGCCTAGATATGATCCGGGAGGAAGCCCGAACAAGTGGTCTTTATCAAGGGGTTTTGTCAAAGGAGCTTTTTCAAACAAATGAGTTGGAACCCGTTCTTTGAACCATACAAGCAGTGGTTTTCTTTCAGGCAATTCCCGGATGAGAGCCAACAAGTTGAGAAGGAATCAAACATACACCATGGTGAATGTGGATGGCTCATTCTCTTTTTATTCTCTTTTTGTCGGTAATGGGGATGAAGGAAGCATGTGCCATGCTTATTTTCACCCGACCGTAAGTATTTCGGTCAAATGAGGAATCCGCCATAAATTGGTCCGCCATGGATTGGTGATGAGGAGCTTGGTCAATCAAGTTGACTTCTGAATCTGGAATAAGGGCACGGTGTGAGTGTGAGTGAGGAAATCTTGGATCATTCGAGCTGGCCGTTTGAAACCAGTGGTGCATCACCGACGCATCAGCAGAAATACAATGTATCGTTTGCATTTATGCAAATGCACATGTCGTTCACGGAAACCTCCACACATAATGTTAGCATGCATATACATACACTATGTCTTCACCGAAGTGTGCCCCTGTCGTAGCAGAAGGGTGGACCAACCTGCAGGCTTTTGTTAAACCAAGGTGAAAGGGGGTCAGTCAGAACACAACCATGTGTAAAAAGAATATATATATATATATATGCATATGCATAAACACGTACATATATATATATATATGTACATACCTTACATGTTTGCTACGGATGTTGATGGCCCGTACTATGGTGAAGCCAGGTTCTTTTTGCGTCCCTCGCCCCCTCCAAAAAGTAAGGACACAAACACCGGGATTGCCTCTTGCATTGTGCCCGCAACGGATTCTTTCGAGGGCTTGGCAAAGGTTGGGAGGACCCTTTGCATGTTGGCGTGTGCCATCGTTTTCCCCTAGTCATGCTGTCACAATCAATCCACTGAACCGGGCTGGACCGGCTCTTAAGAGGCACCCAAGTCGTAGCTTGGCTATCCTGCGGTCTTGAAGCTCATGCAGCCAAGTCCTTCACTTCAATATTGTCCAGCTTCGCCAACGTAACTTAAACTAGCTGGTTTTCAGCAGGGAAGAAGAGAATGTCCAAAAGGAAAGCTATCCATCCCATGGTTTCCTTTGAGGGAAGCACCTTCTGGTTCATTCCCAAAACCCGGTCTCGATCATTCCCTACCTATCGCACCCCACACACACACACACCAGCAAGTAAAATTGCCCGTGAAAATGGAATTTACAGCAAATCAAACCGCTTGCAGAAGCCCTCCCAAGCTACTTAGCGGGATCCGATCTTCCTAGTCAATACGCAGTGGGACACCGGAAAGCCACCATCTGGCAGGATGAAGGATAGATTTTGCTGCTAGCATTTCTAGAAACCTAGTAAAAAGTTCATGGCGATCCGTCTGCAGCGGTCCATTGCCACCTTGCTCAAGCCAACTTGGCGGCTCGGACGACGTCGATTCCTCCCCCACCTCAGCGGCTCAGGCCGGCCACTGCCAAAGGCGCGCAGCGCCAGTTCCTGGGTCGTTGTGGTGGTAGGTGTGGCGGGTGTGGTGGGTGGTGCGGTCTGTATCCATGTGTGTTTCTCCCAAAACATCGATGCACTTTTTGGCAAGTGACCTCCAAGAGTGGAGGAAGTTAATTTCTCGGCTCATGAGGCACTGGCCGGGGTTTGTGTTTGTTTTTGTTGGGGGGTTCTCGTGCTTGACCCTGAAAGGGGCCACAGGGCTCTTGATACGTGGTGCATGAGCGGGGGTCAATGCGTATCGTATTCTAAGCTGCGCCATGGTGAAAACTCCGAATCTGCTTGTTGCATGGTTCCCTTCGTAGGAAAGTGTGCCTAAGAGGTTGGTGAACATCCCTACCAAACCCCGAGTCAAGGAGCCACAGCGCAGCTGACATTGGGAATCTGACGTATGGCCCACGTCACAGAAAATGAGCATTGATCCTTCACAGTCCGTGGGTCCCGGTGGTTTGGGGGTGGAACTGACATGACTTAACCCAGGCCTGAGACTTGGCTTCAGACCCGCGAGAGGCTGTTCCGGGGCTCAAGAGACAAATCTCCCCTGCCAGACATCCCTAACAATTGTGGGGGGTGAGTGAGCAGAGCCCTCTATAAAGAAGGTGGCAGCCCACTGGTGACCCAAAAATCATGAACCTCTGGTTGAGCTGCCAAATAGGGGCCATGAGAAACAACAAACGATGCACTTGTTGTGTGAATTTAGAAATATGCTCTATTGAGGACCAAGATTAAGAGGGTGGTGAGCAGCAAATGTTTGAAGGTTAAATGTAGGTGGATGGCATGACTGTACTGGCTATAACATGCTGAGGTTGAACATCCGAGAGCCTGCGGTTTTTGGCTCCCCGGCGCAGGTGCAGAGATTCTGCAGCAGCAGCAAACCGCTGGCCGCCAGCATCGGCAAACGCGCCCCCGGGCCTCAAGGATAAGACGCGAAGCGATGCCTAGGGACCCGGACTGCTCTGCGAAAATTAGCCCAAAGGAAGCTTGATGAACCACATCGGTCAGAGTTCTGAAGAAAAAACAAAATAAACACATCAAAATCAAGCCGGCTTTAAGGAAGTTGACTCCCGCGGGACTCGGGGAAGGGCTTCTAAGGGAGCGTTTGCAAAGTACATCCGAAAGGCCGAAAGTGCATGATAAGGCAGGGAAATACAATTGCTGCCCCTGCCACCTATCGTAAACCTGTGCTCCCCAAATGCTGCCCCTGCCACGAAATCTGCACGTCAAGTCACAAAGTGCTGCGCCTGCCAAGCAAAATAGGGGCCTCGAAGCGCGCAGTGTAACATCAAGTCCTTTCAAACCACACCGAACGCTTCCCTTGCCACAGCGTGCGTGCGTGCGTGCGTGCGTGCGTGCGTGCGTGCGTGCGTGCGTGCGTGCGTGCGTGCGTGCGTGCGTGCGTGCGTGCGTGCGTGCGTGCGTGCGTGCGTGCGTGCGTGCGTGCGTGCGTGCGTGCGTGCGTGCGTGCGTGCGTGCGTGCGTGCGTGCGTGCGTGCGTGCGTGCGTGCGTGCGTGCGTGCGTGCGTGCGTGCGTGCGTGCGTGCGTGCGTGCGTGCGTGCGTGCGTGCGTGCGTGCGTGCGTGCGTGCGTGCGTGCGTGCGTGCGTGCGTGTGCGTGCGTGCGTGCGTGCGTGTGTCGTGCGTGCGTGCGTGCGTGCGTGCGGTGCGTGCGTGCGTGTCGCGTCGCGTCGCGCGCGCGTGCGCGTCGGCGTTTGTGCGCGCGTGCGGCGTGGTGTGTGATGCGTGCGTGCGTGCATGCATCGTCGTGCGTGTATCATCGCGTCGTGCGTCATCATCATGCGTGCGTCGCGTGCGTCGTGCGCATCGTGCGCATCGCATCGCGGCGCATGCATCGTGCGCATCGATGCGCGTGCGTCGCGTCATCGTGCGTCATCGCATCATCGGGCTGGCGGGCGGGGCGACAGCAAGGCGGCAACAGCAAGCAGAAAGCGGCAAGCGAAAGGCGGGCGGGCGGGCAACTGGCAAGGAAGCGGGGCAGGCGGGTAGCAGCAGCAGACGAAGAAGCCCGGCAGCGGCCGGGGCCCAGCGGGGGAAGCACCTTGGCCACCGGCGGGCCGGCGGGCCGGCGCTGAGCAGCGGGGGCGGGCATTTGAGGTTTGCCACCGGCCATAAGCGGCCGGCGGTACAGCGATCCTGGCAGCGAAGGGAAGGGCGAAATGACGGATGCCGAGTGAGTGAGTGAGTGAGTGAGTGAGTGAGTGAGTGAGTGAGTGAGTGAGTGAGTGAGTGAGTGAGTGAGTGAGTGAGTGAGTGAGTGAGTGATGAGTTGTGAGTGAGTGAGTGAGTGAGTGAGTGAGTGAGTGAGTGAGTGAGTGAGTGAGTGAGTGAGTGAGTGAGTGAGTGAGTGAGTGAGTGAGTGAGTGAGTGAGTGAGTGAGTGAGTGAGTGAGTGAGTGAGTGAGTGAGTGAGTGAGTGAGTGAGTGAGTGAGTGAGTGAGTGAGTGAGTGAGTGAGTGAGTGAGTGAGTGAGTGAGTGAGTGAGTGAGTGAGTGAGTGAGTGAGTGAGTGAGTGGAGTGAGTGGAGTGAGTGGAGTGAGTGGAGTGAGTGGAGTGAGTGAGTGAGTGGAGTGAGTGGAGTGAGTGGAGTGAGTGGAGTGAGTGGAGTGAGTGGAGTGAGTGGAGTGAGTGGAGTGAGTGGAGTGAGTGGAGTGAGTGGAGTGAGTGGGTGGGCGGGCGGGCGGGTGGGTGGGTGAGTGCGTGAGTGAGTGAGTGAGTGAGTGAGTGACTCAAAAATGACGAGTCGGCTGCCAGTCACACAATACGGGTTTCAGTCTCTGCCCTTCTAACTAACAAGCCTTCCTCTTCGTGTGGCTTTCGCTGGGCATCTCCCCGAGCCAGTAACACGGATATCTGTATTTGTGTATGTTGTTATTTGCACAACAACCACTACCGCGAACCTACGCACAGGGCGAGCACCCACATTTCTTTCAGGGTAGCGGAGCTGCACGAAAATCCTTTGACCGAGTTCGCCAAGGCTTCTTCCAACCCAGGGCGAGCACCCACATTTCTTTCAGGGTAGCGGAGCTGCACGAAAATCCTTTGACCGAGTTCGCCAAGGCTTCTTCCAACCCATCAACTGGACCCAAAGCCGCTCAAGTTTACCTTCAAAAGGTGGTCAAGATGGCACCTTTTCAAATTTCGGGATCGCCTGTCTCTTTTCTTAAGGGCAAGAGTCCGTGTCACAAATTGATTCTTTGAAGAGAATTACAGGAAGCCACGTTTCCCTGATTTGACCCAAGGCACAAACACCCTGCCCCCCTCCACCCCAAGGCAAGACCCTAAGGCCTCTTGTTCAATGACCTTGGTAACAAAGGAACCCGTTTTGGGCTGACGGATTTGACTGGGAAAGCCGTCAAACCTAAAGGGGAAAGGATGAACAACGGTTGGGCAAGGCCAATCTCTGCCAAGAGGCGATCCCCCAGCCGCGTCGCCAAGAGGCCCAACCTGCGGTGTGGGTCTGAAACGCCAGGGCCCGACTAACAAAACATACCGAAAACAGCTGTACCAAGCAAACAACAAAATTGCGGCTTGGCAGTTAAATCTGAAACTGACCAAAACAACACCGGTGCCACGATACGCCTTTTATTTGCTTAGGCCCTCTGGAAAACTAAAATGGTTGGTTGGTTGGTTGGTTGGTTGGTTGGTTGGTTGGTTGGTTGGTTGGTTGGTTGGTTGGTTGGTTGGTTGGTTGGTTGGTTGGTTGGTTGGTTGGTTGGTTGGTTGGTTGGTTGGTTGGTTGGTTGGTTGGTTGGTTGGTTGGTTGGTTGGTTGGTTGGTTGGTTGGTTGGTTGGTTGGTTGGTTGGTTGGTTGGTTGGTTGGTTGGTTGGTTGGTTGGTTGGTTGGTTGGTTGGTTGGTTGGTTGGTTGGTTGGTTAGTTGGTTGGTTGTTGGTTGGTTGGTTGGTTGGTTGGTTGGTTGGTTGGTTGGTTGGTTGGTTGGTTGGTTGGTTGGTTGGTTGGTTGGTTGGTTGGTTGGTGTGTGGCCAGCACTTGTTAGTGAGGCCAGGCCCGCGCTTTCCCCCCAGCCGGAGCTTGGGGTTCAAGCCGGCCGGAAACATAAACGCAGCCAAGGCACAGGCCGTACCATGGGAAACCCAATGCCGGCGCAACTAAGACAGGGCAGTGGGGGGGGCAATGGGGCCTGAGCAAGAGTGACGAAGAAGGCACGGGAACAGAAGCATGCAAGGCACCCCAAAACAGGCCCGGTAGGATGTGAGACCTACCCAAGCTCAAGCCAAGGCACTGGAAGGCTCGCCTGCGACAACAGTCAGGACCACACATCCTTCCCGACGCAAGTTCTTGATGCAGAGGCGAAGGCCAGCTGAAAGGCCAAACGGAGAGCCGAGAGCAGCATCACAGGCAGCTAAGGCCGCGGAGACTGTGACAGGGTCGGCTCTCCTTTGCAGGAAGCAGCACAGCCACCGCTTGGTCCGACGGTTGCTGAGCACAGGCGGCCGAGCCACGCCATGACCGGCTTCTGGATGGACTTGACTAACAACCGCAGGGCTGCCTGCAACGGAGGATGAACTCGGAGCAACTGCAGACAACCAAGAGAACGCACAGTCAAAACAGCGGACGGCAGGGACGCTGCATGAGCACCACAGTTCCAACAACAGTGAGGCCGGAAGTGGATACAGAGGCTCGGGCAGCGAGGTGCCTCATGAGCCAAGACCAACACCTGGTCTCAACAGTGCGCAAGGTGCGCAACCAAGTGCGGAGGCTGTCTTGCCGGTAAAGGACGGCGTCCCACCGCTTCGCTGAGCCAAGCCTGGATCTGCCAAAGGCACACAACGCCCGGAGGGAGAAGGCGACGGCCAACAGCCACGCTGGAGGGTCGGATGAGCCGTAACTGGTGAACGCACTCTTCCCACGCCCGGGCGGCCGCTACACGGGCACGGGATACTGGCGGAGGTACAGCAGGGACAAGGACAGATTGGAGCAAGTCGAAGCCGCCCAATGCGAGAGGACAGGACCTTAGAGCGCATATCCGCAGACGCACCCTCACTGGTACCATCCAATCCCTCACACGAGGAGAAGAACAGACGAGAGGGGTGGAGGCTGTCCTCTTCAAGATGTTGGAGTAACGGAGCATGCGCGACAAGGGAACTCGCCACGGCGTGTCGTAACGACTCCAGTTAGGGTGCAGGGGCGGACTCAATGGTCTCTGCCAAAAGACGCCAAGAAGGACGGCCGGCAGGAGAGTTGTGTTCCACTCTTGGGGGAGCGCGGCAAGAAAGTCAGCAAGCGCGGGCTCATGATCAACACGGCGACGCCAGCCAACAACAACCGCAGAGTTGAGCAGCAGGAGAGGCTCAGCCCCACGTGGGCTGAAAGACCAAATACCATCCAGGCGGCTTGCAGTGAGCAAAAAAGGTGTAGGCCCAGAGGCCTCCGTGCCCAAGACGAAAGGCAGTGGAAGGAAGGCGTGTCAGCAGCGAGGGACGACGGACGGAGAAAGTGCGACCCATGCCAAATATCAAGATCCAGCGAGGCGGCAGAGTTAAAGTCACCCATGCAACTGAACGGGATACCCAGCTCGTCCACCAGGCGGAGTTGCTCCCCAACAAACTGGACCAGTGAAGCCTCTTCGGCCAGCTTAGATGGATCACTATCGAACCCGGGAAGACTGGCTCCAGTCAGCAAAAACACGACCACGACACGAACAGGACAGCCGCCTGAGAGATGTCTAGCGCCGGCCAGGCACGACCACCCGGAGCGCGCAATATCACACCAGCCAAGGATGGCACCGCGCCGAACTGCCAGAACAATACCAGAGCGAGTGGCTGGCAGGCAGCGCTCCCGAGGAGCCATGACACACAGCAGTGTAACCGGCGGAGTGAGAGAGGGGGAAGAGTCGGAGGAGGTGAAGCCAATCTCAGAAACGCATCCTATGTCAGCTCCCAGGTGAGAGAGGGACTGGCCCCGCTAAAGCGGGCGTCAGTACTGCGTGCACAGAGGCGAAGCGGAACAGCGCCCTTGCGCGACAACCCCTATCCCTCTGCAAGGAAGGCCGAACGATCGGCCAACGCGATGGGGAGTTGCAAACCACGGTTTGGAGTTCATGGATTGATGAAAATGGGCTTCTCGGAAACCGATCAATGAAACGGAACCTTCACGACGGATCTTGCTATTCTCAGCCCTTGCTTTGTGTGATCCCTTTTTCCATTCTTTTGAACATTGCAGTTGCTCGCTCCCGAAAGCGGCGGCACACAAAGGGAACACGCACAAACAAAATCATGGTCCAAGCAACGGACAAAACACACAGCAAAACAGAGGAGCCCGCATTGCAAGGCTCGTGTGAATGTCCGGACAAGTGGGGACACAGAGTAGTACATCCCTCGTTGCTTGATATCCTGTGTTTCTCATGACGCCATGGGTGGGCAGCCCCCGAAAAAGGCGCTACCATTGACTCTATTAAGCCTTATTTGGGCAGCAATCGGGGTCGGGGGCCTTTGTGGTCTGCCTTTGGCAACTGTAACAATTGGGCCACGTCCCCTTTCAATAGGTCTCCGGATGGTTTTGCCTGGTGTGATGGGACACACAAGGAATGCGATGGGACGCTTTGGAAACTATGTCACTCCCCAGCGGGAGGTGTAACAAACAAACAAAGGATGATGCTCGTCAACTACACTCCAACACTAAATACCGCAAGCCATTGCAGATGTCATTCACATTACAAAGATCCATGGTTTGTTCACTCCTGTTGGAGCATCGCCTTGCAATACATCAAAACATACACAACAAATGTCTAACAGTTTGCCCGAGAGGGTAGCCCTACAATTGCTGTAGATCTCATTGCGTAGGCACCCCTAACTGTGTCTCAGGCGGATGTTCAAAAAATCTAACTGATGGGTGGGAACAAAAATTACTAACAGGAGCAAATACGCCTAAACTGAAAAATAGTTTCAAAACAGATCTGCAAGCTTTTCCAAAAGCAACAAAGAAGATTTGGATCAAATTTGGATGCCCAAGAAAGGGCCTACATACTGACGACCTCGTTTCCTTCCAAAGCGGGAGCCATGGGAAGTGTGTGGCCCTTAACAGCCCCTAACAATGGGAAACGTTGGGAGCCATATTGGACAAACACCCATAATACCCCCTATCAATGGAACCTTCACTACGGGTGACGTCGCAAACACCATGTCACTACGTGATTAGACATGAGCCCAGCTATGAAATGTGTATGTATATATATATATATATTATTTGCTTGACCACTTTGAGTCACTCCAGACTATGGCTTTGAACCAGGGAAACATCGGCTCGCTTAGGCCCCGCACCCCATCGCGCTCACCGCCCCGCAGAGACACGCGAAGGCGCAGCCCAGCCGCCGGTGCCCAGGGCCCTCGTCGTCCTCGCGAAGATTGGATGGGGTTGAAGGGGATCATGTGCACATATGTATGTATATATATGTATATGCGCTGTGTGTGTGTGTGTCTGTATATGGATGGATGGATGGATGGATGGATGGATGGATGGATGGATGGATGGATGGATGGATGGATGGATGGATGGATGGATGGATGGAGGGATGGAGGGATGGAGGGATGGAGGGATGGAGGGATGGAGGGATGGAGGGATGGAGGGATGGATGGATGGAGGGATGGATGGAGGGATGGAGGGATGGAGGGATGGAGGGATGGAGGGATGGAGGGATGGAGGGATGGAGGGAGGGGGGGAGGGAGGGATGGATGGATGGATGGATAGATGGAGGGATGGAGGTATGTTCGTACGTAGGTATGTAGGTATGTAGGTATGTAGGTGTGTAGGTGTGTAGGTGTGTAGGTGTGTAGGTATGTAGGTATGTAGGTATATAGGTATGTAGGTGTGTATCTATCTATCTATCTATCTATCTATCGATCGATCGATCTATGTGCGTATGTGCGTGTGCATGTGTGCATGTACGTACGTATGTGTGCCTGTGAATGTGTGTGTGTGTGTGTGTGTGTATGTATCTAATAAGGTAACGTAATGCAGTGCGGTGCAGTGTAGTGTAATGTTGCCTAATGTAATGAATATAAGTGTGTATGCGTACGTATGTATGTTTAGGTTTGACTCAAAATGAAGCACTCTAAAATGGAGTTCCGTTCGGATTTGTGGGAAGCAGTCCTGAGCAATCTTGGTTCTTCCTTGGAGCTTGCAGCAACGCTGTATCATTTTAAACAATGGCTTCGGCCTCATTGGATCCTCAAACAACTGCACATGATGTGTAAGCTTCACACGCTGGCAGGCTCAAAACACTTGCTTTCCCAGTTTTTGGGGCGTAGGACAGCAGTCAGTGCTCTTTTTCGAGGCTTTGAGGGGGGGAATCCGCCATGAAAAATATATATATATATATATATATGTATATGTGAATATATACATATATATATATATATATATATATATTTGAGGTTAGTCCCAATAAAATGCAAACGTATCCCAGCCCCAGACCAGTTTTGACCATGGCCGGAGTGGAGCTGATGTGAGCATGTCGGTGCTTCCCCGCCCCTTCATTGGCTTTGTCTGTATCAAAAATGGAGAACAAACAAACAAACAAACAAGCAAACCAACCAACCAACCAACCAACCAACCAACCAACCAAACCAACCAACCAACCAACAAACAAACAAACAAACAAACAAACACACAAACACACAAGCAAGCAACAACATGCGTCGCTGCAAAGCTATTGCTTCCTTTAAATATTGTCCGGTCCCGCAAGCTTGGGTTTCCTCTCGGTTTGATCCCCTCCTTGGCACGAGGCAGGGCCTCAACGGCGAGCATTTGGGCCTTCCTTTTAAAAGAAGCCCTCGAATTGGTTGTTTGGAGGTTCCGGGTGGTTCCCCATGTTCCCTCTACAATTGGGGGATTGCCTGCCGACTTTGGTTTCAACTGCGGCTTCAATTCTCAAAACACCGAGTTTGGAGGTGTTTTTTTCCCATGTTCCCTCTAGAAGGACCAGGAGTAATACCCAAACCATCAACTAATGCTGAGCCGATGAACCCTTGGCCCAACTCTGGGGCACACCAAAAATAATTAGTACTGTTTGATCCTGCCTCGTATTAGCCTACCCCAAGTCTGCCCTAGAACAAAACAGGAACTGCATTCAATAGCCCAGAGTCTGCGGCGCGCTGAGAAAAAAGCTGCTAATTGAGCCGCGAAGCTTCCTTATTTTTGGGTTCCTGAATTCTGGCTGGTTCCAGGGTTTGATTCCTGCAACCATCCTTATTTTCAACGCCAATTCTCCAGGGGTTTTGTTGGTTTCTGTAAAAAAAGATCTCTGGCAAAGTTGCCAAGGAAAAACACAAACGGTTTCTAGTAAAGATGGTGTTCACCAAATAGTTGCGTGGACCACTGGACCACTGTCTGAAACTTTTTGGTGGTTCGCGAGACTCCCTGAATTCGCAAACAAGGCAAGGGTCAAATGTGCAACCAACTAATATCAGTACTTCCTTGCAGCAAGGTCCCCCAGCGCTGCTCCAATCGAGTTGTCCATTCTATGTCAACCAATAAGTGCACATATGCTTGGCAGGTCATGCCAACCCAGGACCTGGATCAAAGCCCGGGTTGACTATCAAGGGGGCCGTCCCATTCTGAAGGGGAAGCACCACCTCTGCGCCAAAAACAGACCTAGTATTCTGTGAGGATGCTGATGGATTTCAAGTCTGGGCGTTCTTCGGAGCGAAAAAACGGATTGTCCTTCGGGGCAAGCCCAAGAATCTGCTTAAACTCCCAGAAAGTCAGTGACCATGGGAAAAAATGTTTTTTGGTTCTCGAGTTTGATGGACAACCCCCTTGCTGTTTCTGAAGCACCTGAGGATCCAACTCGTTGTGGAATCCGAAAATGGACTCGTCCCGGGAGATTTCTCTAAGAATGATTGAGGGTGTTGGTCAGGGATATGAACGCCAGGTAATCATGAGTGTTCACTACGTTGTTCGCATTTTGCAGGCCACGTTACTGAAGGTACGAAAATTGGGAACAACGAAGCGCATATGGCTGCTTCAGTGTTCACTGGTGCACATGTCCGGCGCAAAGTGCGTGCATTCTAGGCTTCCGGGATGACAGAGAGCACTTCAGCTTTGGAATCACAGAAATACCAATGCACAGTTGCTGGTGATGAGACTCTTGAATCGGGTGACCCTACATGGGTTCCAGCAAATGGGTGACCAGGGTGCTACACAAGGAATCACTGGCGCAGTAGGAATGCGATCTCCGGCGAACCCAGGGCCGTGGCATAGAGAGCAGCAGAGAAGCCTGACAAAAACTCAATCAATCCCCAGGATGTGCCCTCAAGGATCCGAGGGTCTAGGGGTGCTGTGGATGTTCCTTGAAAGTGCCAACAGAGTGCCGAAAGAGTGCAAAAAAAGGTGGGATCCACAGTTGGCTCATCCAGCTTGTCGCCTCAAGAGGGGCGGGTGGTTGAGAGGTCACTCACGGAGCACAAGTGCCAGGAAAACCTAACTCCAAAACCAATTCACTCGGAAACACCACTCGGCCTTTTGGGTTGCCACAAAGCTGAGTAAAACTGGTTGAAACTGGAGGGTCAAAACCGCAACCTTGCGGAAACTGCAAAAGATTTGTATCGTTCCGCTCGTCCAGTCGCCTCTGGCTGCACTAAAATCATCACGAGCTTGCTTCTGCAAGTGGTCCACTCCCGAGATTGCATCACCTTGAGGCACGTAAGCCCATGTGCGGCTCAAGGGGGGCCAGTCCCTTTTCCTGAAACTCTCGCCGATTAGTTTACAATTTATGTCTGCCTTTCCAATGGCTGAAGGTATAGATTCATATATGAACCCATGGCCATGATGAACCCTTTGGGAGCTGACTTCCCATGATTCAGCCACAACTAAGGGTTAATTAACCCATAAACTAGGGGTTCCTACCAGGAGTTCATACATGGATGTAATCATTCAGCCTTTGACTTTTGGTTTCTTGGTCCATTGGGGAGGAAAAACCAGGCTTCCCAATTCAGGCAAAGCAGAATGGCATCTGCTGGCTGCATGGTGCTGGGGCAGAGATCAGGTTTGGAGATCTGACCTGTCCCAACTCCCCGAAGACCTCCCCTCACCTAAACCGTGTGGCCTTGGCTCCTTGAGGCGAAATAAAGCGAAGTTATCCCACTTTCATATGGCGCAAAGAACTTCAGCTGGCAAACGTCGGAACATCCGCACTGCCGGTGTAGTTCGCTCTCCTGGAAAACCGTTCTAACTGCCCTGTAGTGCTGACTTAATTACTGCATTTGCCCCTTCTAAAGACCCCTCCTGTGAGCCCTGGGCATGGTTCGCAAAATGGGAACCCGAATTCCCCAACAAGCAGGGGTGTTGGCCAAGGCACATCTGGTGGAGGTTCCCTTTTATGAACATGCGTATGTCACTGTGTCTGAACTCTAAATTTCCAAACTGGATTCCCAAACTGTTTTCTGCATCAACACGTCTTTGAAGTCCAGATTTGGGAAATAGTGATCTTTGAGCCCTGTGGAATCTTTACTCACACAGATTTGCGGACCCCGAGCTTCGCGCTGGACGGGCCACGACCGAAGTCTGGTTCCCGCCAGCAAAACAGGCGCAACCATTGTTGCGCCATTGAACCGACCAAAGTCGGATTTACAGATAAACAGGTTCTCGTCCGTCCCAACCCTCGTCAAACATCAAACAAGAAACAAGGAAGCAGACACCACAACAGAAAACCAAACCAAGCCCAAAAACACCAGGGGAGCAACGGGGTGGGACGACCGGCCAAAGAGGAACGACCCAAACATCTCAGAAAGCGGCACCTTTGGTTGCCGGGCAAATGTGACTCAGGCGACACCGGCATCTGAGAAAAACCTGAATTCCAAGTGAAACATGCTGAGGCATCCCATGCTCGTCCATGGATGAGCCACTCCCAAAGTGAAGCCAGAAAGTGGCACCGTATAAAGTTGGGCATCATGCCGATGCATCGCAAATAAATACATGTGCAACCTCATAAAAGCCCAAAGAGATGCGGCCAAAGCAAGATATCGGATATGGCCCGGCCGCTTCAGCAGAAATCCGGCGCATTTCCTAAGAAAAACCCCATGCCTCCGAAACTTTGAAGTCATCTGAGAACGCTGGCGGGCGCCATGCCTCTGCCAAGAAGAATCTCAAAGCCCGGCATCAGAAGCAAAGGAGCATACATCCGGCGGCCATCAAAACCGTCCATACTAAACCATCATGGCAAGGTGAAGTACTTCCGGAAAAGTTTGTTGTAGCCACTGAGAAGCCGCCAAGAGGCGGGTCTAGGGAATGCTACCGTTCATAGCTGCGCGTCATGCCAATACACCGCAAAGGAATGTGTAGATGCATAGCGCCCAGATAATATGCAATCTGACAGAATCAGCGGGTGTGGATCGGCGTCTGCTTCCATGAAACGGAAAGCGCCATCCCAAAAGCCCCAAATGCGAGTACTTTTAAAGCAGTCCTGAAACCTGTCCGGGCGCCATGCCCATGTCAAGACTGATTCCATAGTCCTGCATCTGAACGAAACGAAATGGGGAACAAATCTTGCGGTCATCAAAAACCGTCCGCGCTATCCATCATGGCAAAGAGGGCCACTCGTGGAATGAGCATGCCCTACGTTGCGTGACTGCAGTGTCACCGTGGCCACCGCCAAATGCCTCGGTTGTTGGGCCGGGTCGAATGTACAATGCCATTTGGCATTGCATGATATGCCATGGCAAGGATAACACATTCCCCAGATACACCGGGAAGTGCTGTGGTACCAAACATAGCTCCATGCCGATGTAGTGCAAACCGGCCATGGCCACCCGACGGGCAACGTCATCCGAGCGGACACCCTAGAGTGCTGATGTCATTCTGATTCCGTCCCGGATTCCAAGCCCTTGCAAAATAATCCCGAATCTGAGCATCTGAACGTGAATTAATTGCAAAGGAGGATGCCTCTATCGGCCATCGAGTCAGTCCATACCAAACCATCGTGGCGAGGTGAGTCACTTCATGAACTGGAGAGGACATCTGCTTTTCACGTGGCTTTGAAGATAGTCATCTGCAAGAAAGGACAAGTGGTTGGAAGCACACCAGGACTACTCCGCCGGCGGCCAAGCTCGCCCGAGTTTAATGTGCTTTTTCCAATACACACGGAGCGCCCTTCTCTTGGCAGGGGGCACATCGACAAAGCCGTGTGCGACAGGCAAATACAGGGGAGTTTTGCCTTCAGGTTTGTATATTGCATGTGGGATGCGCTTATGAGACTCGTGTTGAACAAGGAATACGCGTAAAGCTTCTATGGTTTCGGGTTGTCTCTGAAGGACAGGACGCGTGGCGAACCCTCCAAAGCTAGCGTTCACTCCTAGCATCTGCAGCGATTTAGCCTTAACAACTTTGGTTCCACAAAACAAGCGGTGCGGTGTGACACTTTGCAGTTGGTTCATGGTTTGACCGAGCAACTCCGATTGTCTCGCGATAGTTTTAGCACTCGCGGGTAGCAGCCTACCAGCCTCGGAAAGAAACGGCACGAAGCCGCAGTATTTCTGCTCTTCAGCACTGCATTCACGAATCGAGATGGGCAGAAACTGTTGCGTTACCTCAACGTAGTTGGCGTACAATTCAATCATTGAGATACCCCAATCGCCAACCCGGGGTTGGTCATAAGGGGCCCACTTAAGGGTATGCAACCAGTTCCAAACATTTACGGCGGCATCAACTCCCGAAGCAACGGATTGCGCTCGTTTTTCTTCTAAAACAGTGGTTGGCAAGGGTACCGCCTCGGCATTTTCCCACGATTTAAGTGCTGTGATCGCACTGCAGTCTCCTGCAGCAATACGGAGCCTGTCTGAGACTGCATCCGGCGGCAAGGACGAATTCACGATGGCGTCATTTCGCTTGGAAATGTTTCTGAGTCTGTCAACTTTGGCAAGACTGATGGAGATCATGCATCTGAATGTACCTCGGAGCATTTTGGCCTCTTGCTCAATATGCCCAGCGAGGGCATTAACGGTGGCAACGACTATTGGCTGCTCTGTCTGAAGGGCTGAGCCGGCTGCAAAATCAACAAGGCGATTGCCGAGGATATCCCACGCCTCAACCGAATCCCTTGCTTCACTCAAGCGGCGATGGGCTCGAACCCATTTCAAGCGGTGCCGATCTGGGGTCCAGATGGCTTGCATTTCAGTCAAAATATCGCTGTTGGGCTGACTGCCGACCGGGCACTTCCCAACGCAATATTTTGCAACACAATTACATGCATACTGCGAGTCAGAGAAAATATCGCAATGACGGAATTCAACCAGAAGAGAACTTCTAAGAGCCTGGCACACAGCTCTGAGTTCACTACGATTGATAGTCTGGTCCTGGTCAGTGAGGGATGTACACATGACCCTCATGCACTCTGGCAAATGCTGGTGATCGTGCAACCTGGCAAGGCAAGAAAGTCTCTCTTCATCGGTTTGAGAGGTGTCCTGCACTATAGCCCATCCCGCTCTCCGTGCGGTGGGGATGGAAGGGTTCAAACACGAACCGTCGGTATAGAAACGCAAAAACGGCACAGCAGTAGGACGAACCGGTTCAGGAGCAGTGCGAGTTCGCCACACTTGCAAGAGATCGGATGTGTCCTTGTGCTGATATGCCATTGGAAAAAAGACCCACCTGGGTCTTTGCATCCGCACAAATGCGAAAATGTCTGGATGTTCCTGTTTAAACGGCTCACACACTTCACATGTGAAAAACCTATGGTCGTGAGTGTCAATCTGTCCACAAACTTCGCAAAGACGGTCCGCATCTTGGCCGGCTTTTGCTGTGGCTGCATTGACAGCGATGGCTCCAACCAGGTAAGGGGCAAGCACACGTTGCTCCCATCCAAGGAATTCCTGGAAGGTCTTAATGGTCAAATTTCGGTCCCAATTGAAGTCGGGCGGCACTCCTTTCCTATGCGCGACCTCGCTCTGGACTTTGAGGGTCCACAGATCCGTGAGCTTCCTTTTAATGACTTTGGGCGGGTCACGGAGTACATTACAGTTATGTCCACAAGAACTTGTTATGTTTCCATCTGGATCGATTGATCCTCCCGCATTTACCAAGTATTTACCAAAGGACGATGCAGGGCCACGAGGGACCCCCGGACAGGGTTGCGAAGCACGTAGCACGAAGCTTCTAGCGAAGGGCATGTCAAAGACAGCTCTTTTTCGCACTTGAGTGGCTGCTTTGGCTAGTACATACAAGCCAGGGTCCTGCAAGGTATGATGCAGAAAGTGACAGGAAAGCCAGGAGGACGTTGCTTTG